AGCTGGGGCAGAGCAACCCTGGGCTGGCAGCGGGTCTGGGGAGTCAGCCCCAGGCTCTGCGTAGCAGTGTTAGGCAACAGAGGCGCTAGCTGTGGCACAGGGGTGCTAAAGTGTGGGTCTAGGTGGCAGGCAGCCCCAGCACTTTAGCACCTTTGTATCTCAGCCAATGCCTGTCACCATCTGCACATATGTTTTGGCAGAGTTAAGTTTTGGCGTAAGAGTACTGACCCCAACAGTCTCATCTTACAGTACAGTTAGTTAATTTGCTGTGTCCTAATACTGGTGTAGGTGTAGATGGTGATGCTTTACTGTGGAGCTGATTTGTCAACTCCGCAGTAAAGTACACATGTAGATGTACCCACTGGATGTGTCTGCACGAGACATTTACTTCAGTTGACTAATTAACTGTGCAGTATACATCTTGGTGTCTACATGTGCACTCTGACTAGGGTGCACAAAATTAATAAACACCACAGCGGTAGTACTTGTTAATACAAGTACTACCCTGCTGTGGAGATTTTTCATGTGGAGCAGTGCATGTGTAGATGCTGACCCAGCTGACTGGAGAACAGGATGCTTCAGTGCAAGGGTTGCCTGCTGACTAGCCCCTGGTGCCCCAGCCAGCCCTTCTGCAGCATGTTGAGCCCAGTCCGAGCAGCCCTGAGCTGGTAGTTTGAGCCCCCGGGTCTTTCTGTCAGCCGGGGCTGCTGCAACCTGGCTCATTGTGCTGTGTTCTGGGCACATGTGGAAACCATGCACCCAGGAGCTTCCCAGGAGCAATAAACTGCAGAGCTTTGCAATTTATTGCTGCTCATTAATGGCATGTGTAGATGCACCCACTGAATAGGGTTTTATTCCTTTGGTAGTCCCACTTACTTAGAAGTAACTGTATACAGAGTAAGGTACTACTTACCATGAATAAGGATGGCCACAAATCTGGCTTTGTGGCACTTAAACACGCATAATAAAACATTTCTATCATCAGGAGACCTAGAGTTGGCATGGTGTCACAAGCAATGATAGTTCAAAGCCAGCTACTGTATTGCTGAGATAGAAATGTCTATTTCCAGAATAGGTAGCTTGTTCAGATGTCATTTAGAATAAGAAATAGTTCATTGTAAAGACAAACCCAGGCAGGAGATGTTTGCAGAGGAGACATTTTTCATTATGGCTTAGGGCCTGCCTTTAGAAGTTGGCACCTCTCCTTTAGATACCCAGCTGAAAGTAGTGAAGGATGTTGCATCATAAAATGTAGGCCAAAATTCAGACAGGCAGTAAACAGGTGGCGCATTGTTTGTGAGGTTATATTATGGAAACTGGTTGTCCTGTCTTAGACTTGCATAACCAGCAGTTTTTCAATTTAGGGGTTATTTATTACTGGCTTTTAGAGGCCCCTCTCCCTCCCCTTTCTGGACATGCCAAGTCAGGATTTATAAAGAAATGTTTAAAGATAGCTGTTAGTTTTCCTTGGCTAGCTGCATCCTCTTCATTGCCTGCTCATTGCAGTATGTGAGGCGTATTCTGAGAAGGAAATGATTCAGCACTTATATCAAGTAGCAGCAAATATATTCCATAATGGGCTGTATTGGATTGGATGAGTTGCAAGGGAAGACTGAGCCCTTGGATGGACTGCAGTCACATAACCAGGGTGTAGGAAAGGCTGCAGGGTTATACCAGCTTGTATACAAGTTGGCAGCTCTGCAAGCTTTGGAGGGGGTGGAATAGAGGATGAACGTACAAAAGCAGAGCATAACTTATTTTGGATGCCAGTACTGGCTTCTTGCATTGGCCAGAGAAGCTGTTCCATCAAGGTGAGCCATAAAAATCATGCTGGTAGACAGACGATGTGGAGGGCAGGAGATGATATTATCCTGGAATAGGTAGGGGGAAGTGTTCTGATATAGCTAGGTTATCAACCACGTATGTAAACTTTCAAAATGTGCCAGAGGACATTAGCAGCATATGCTAATGAAGAGTGACATCTAATACTCCAACATGACTGGAAGGACATAATGTCAGGCAGGCTGCGGGACCTCTGCTGGCTGGCAGAGAGGGGGAAATGGTTAGTAGTGTATCCCAAAGTATTTATCAGGACAGGGAGAAATAACCCAGTGGGCACTGTTATCCAAGCTTTTGAGATGTGATTGAGCTTGATTAATCTGCTAAACCCACAAAATTGTACCCTGCCCTACTTGTTGCTTCACAGTATTGTGCTCCATAGGACTTTACAATGGGGGTTTTGTGTTTGTTTTATTTTTGTTTTTTGTTTTTTACTAAAACAAACTGCCCATAATTGAATAAAACTGGTAGTTTAAAATTTTGTAAACTAAAACTTCTGGGTCCCCTGATCTAGTCACCCCTAATGGCTGCTAAACATTTCCTGTGCGCCAAATTAACCTCAGTCAACATCTTGCAAACTTTGCTTTGGGATGCGTAGATCATTCCCCCAGGCCTGTGACTCAGTGTTCCAGGTGAGGTCCGTTTTGTGTCACCACACTAGCTCTGCAGTTCTGAACTTGTATTTTGTTCAGTGTCCTTTCAAAATTTCAGGATCCATCTTCTTCTTGCATAAGTGGCAAATGATACTTCTTGTCTCTTCCCTACATTTTGGTCTAAATATAAGTTCAATAACATGTTAATATGACCTTCTTAAAGTGGTCATTATTGCTCATGTTGAACTGCTGAGAAATTAGAATGTAATTTCTCTTTTCAGTCCCTGTCTCAATTCTTAAATGAGCGTAGCTTTCCATAAATCTAATCTACTGTATTTTCTCACATACAGCACTCCCTGGAATATAATACACAACTTGTTTTTGAAAGACAGGATGAGGAGAAAAAGATGTTTCTAGAGTCATGGCTGCATAGAGCAGGGACAGAGCCATGTCTTTAGCTGGCTCACTACTTTGCCTGCTTAGGTTAACAGGAACAGCTAGCAGACTGGCAAGATTGCCATAAGAAAAGTTAGTTTGACCTTTCTTAGCAAGATCATCCAGACCATTAAAAAAGAGTGTTGATGGTTAACACCTATGGAGTGAAGAACAATGGGCCATTAAGTCAAATGATTCCCTTGGTTGCCTGAATAGTAATGATGTTTCATTGTGGAGCAGGAATCAAAGCAGTGTGCTTCTATAGTGGGGAGAAAATCAGCTTCCTTGTTTAATCCATGCACCCCAGTTTTGTTGGGGAGGGCTGATATGGGGGGACTCACATGTTTTGTATGTGAGAAAACATGGTATATAAAATGGTTTCATAACACATGGCATCCAATCTGTTACAGAGCATTTGCTGATTTTCTTCAGTTACTAGCTTTTACACTCTGACAGCTTAAACTCAAGCTGTTGTCCAAAACCTAATTTTAGAGTTGCTGACTGTCATGAGAGGACACTAAAGTTAGAATGTTATACTTTCCAGGCATACACTCATTGATAGCTCCTGTGTATAGTAGGGTTTTCAAAATGTTCCCAACTACTCTTATCGTCACCTAAAAATCTGGTTCTAAATATCTCCAAGCTTCCTTTGGAGAACTTGAATGTACACTGTTGTGCTTCTGAAATAAGGTTTAATTGTCTCCTTGCTACCTGTCTCCTTCCATCCCTCCGTTTTCTATTTTATTTTTCCATAGGTGAATCACAGTGAATTTATGTTTACCACTTTAAATACTAGCTACACTTGCTTTACTGTCTCTTTAAGTCCCCTAAACCTGAAAGCATGAACTGCTTCTGGTTCACACTCATGTCACATCATAATAGACATGTCTTCCATGCTTGTTTGATGCTTTAAAGAACCATTCTGTTTCTACCTGAAATAAAAAGCAAGATCTTTCAATAGGTGATTGCTAAGTTTAGATTGAGAGCGCGACTGATTCCAACACTTGCCTAATAGGTATTAATTAAGGAACAGAAAAAATGAGTCCCCAAATTACTGGATATGTAAATTGATTAGTTACTTCTGCTAATTCAGTTGGACTTAGATAATGGTGCTTCTGGCAATTGGCGACATAGTAATTGAGGATCTCTAGGAAAGAGTTTTTGAATTGAATACAAAATGTACTTGAATGGCTGTAACATTACTGTGAACAGATTCCCTCCATTGCTAGTATTTCTTCCCTGTGTTTTGCACTCTTTGTAATTGGCGATGATGATGAAAGGACTTTCCCTTAATCTGTAATGTTTTGTCTCAAAACATATGCATGTTTCTGCTTTGTGGTCATTCTATATCAACTGTGGGAATGGTGCCATCAGCTAATTATCCTTAATGAGACTCACAGAGTCCACAACTGTGTATGTGGATCTGAATATATACTTATAAACTAGGACACTATGCCAAGTTTAACATTCTTGTTCTTGTAAGTAATTAATATCAGTAAAGCCATTTGGATTTTTTTTCATTTGTCTTTTGTGGGAGAAGCTGACTTAGTCCAAGAGAAGTGTTGGCAAACCTCGCAAAAAAAGAGATTTTTTTTCCCTAGTGTTCCTGTGGCCTGAATCACTGGTTTTTTGCTGTAGTGTTGCCACTGATTTGTTTGTCTAACAGCAATTTCTTTGGAATTGGTCCACTCTTGAATATAGAAAACCCTGAACTATTGCTGAGGGAAATGCTTTTACCTGTCTTGAACTAGAGCAGAAAGATGTCAATAAGCCTGAAGTGAGGTCATTCAGTGAGCAATGACTGAATAAGTTTTTGGCAATTAGCTGAATTTTAGTGAGGTTTCTGGAAGGAGTGGAAATTGCAAACAGCAGCAAGAAGAAATTCATGGAGCTCAGGAAATGTATTGTTGTCTAGAGTAAATATTATACAGAGGAGTGAAAATATTGTGCTTTGAAAGTAAACTTTTGCTACCATTTGTACTGTGAAATTACTACTTGCTGTTGTAGCTGTCTTTAAGGTTTAAATTTAGAGTGATATCACTATGACAGCCTTATTTTCCTCATGCTCCTGAATAGGTATGAAATATTAACACTATAGTAGGTTTATGTAAAGAAATGGCATTTCTTTCTCAGATCATTCTGATGATGATGATGAAGTGGAAAAAGCAACCACTACAACTAGAGCAATGAAACAAGACATGGCCTCCAAACCTGCTACATCAAAGAAAAGAAAACAGGTTGGTAAGATTTGCAACAGTTTTGAACTTTGAGGCTATAAAAATAAGGAAATTCAGCTTTTCTCTCTAAATAAGGAGCATTATTCTTCACTTCAGATCCTGATCTTTGCTTAATACTGTTGTGTTGTTGATTGCTACTGTACTCCTTGGAAATTATCGAGTTTGAATGTTAAGAGATTCCAGTTAATTATTTTACTCGAGTTTTATCTGGCTTCAGTAGGGGCCACAACATCTTTCCTCAAGCCAATGTTTAAGATGACCCTGCAGTGGTACAGCTGAGTGATGCACAGTCATTTATGGCATGCACAATTTGCTGTCCTAGGAGTCCTGGATGTGATTTTGCCCTGGTTGTATCCAGGTTATTTTTCTCCCGGAGTGGCCATTTTTATTTGGGGAGAAAAATCCTGAATATCTGTACATTTGTAGTTTCTCTTGGGAGGGTAGTGACTCTCCCAGGAGAAACTGAATGTATGAGGCCTTAATGTTGATACTGGGCAAATCTTAGGAGGTTACATATCAAGTATTATGCTGCCTGAATCTGTCCACATTGAAGTGTCCCTTAAACGTCAGTGGGGAAGGATTCAGATCCAAGTGACTGACATCTTTAGGAGTCCAATTCTGCAGTGCTGAGCACCCTTAATTCCTATGAAGGCAATAAGAAGTGGTATTGCTCTGCACCTCATCCTTAACAAATACTGCAGTAATCTCTCTGATGGACAGAAAAATCCCAAATGAAATGGAAGGAAAAGTCATCCATTGCAAATCACAGAGGCCTTTGATCAGAAACTGCCAGTATTGCTGCCTCCAGGTTATCATACAAAGATGCGGACTGCATGGCTGGAAGGTATTACAGTGATGTAAGAGCATTGTTCTTGTGGATCATTGATTTTACATTCAGCTCAAGTCACTAAATAGGCAAATGTCCTGCCCATCCACTGACATATGTGTAGTAAGTTTGTAATATCATTCTAGTTTGTAATGTCAAGTGTCAGTGCCACACTTGGCCCAAATTGGCACCTTTCATGTGAGTCTCTACCAGTAGACCAAAGACTGAGTGGGCCATAAGAACGGAAAGAGTCAGAATTGAGGCACTTGGAGTAATGTGAAGAAAGTTTACATTACTTTTACCCCTCCTGTGCCTATCTTGAGGTTGACAGTACAGCAACTTTTACATCCATTAGCGTAAATTAAATATTTTAAACAAAGAAAAAGATGTTGCAGTGAACAAGCTACTCTCCTTGTATTACGGCCTCCCACAGGGAGGAGTCAGGATTGCTTATTTTTTTGCCTTAGGACAGTGGAGGCCAACCTTTTTGGCAGGTGTGCCACAAAGTAACCCTTTGCCCTCCTCAGGGGCCACTCTTGTCCCCTTCCCTTGCCTGGTCTACTGCTCTGCTTTCTGCCTCTTGCCCCATCTACTAGTGTGCTGCCTGCCTTTTCCCCAATCTGCCATGTGCCACACACAGAGGCATTGGCCATGCCAACCTTAGGACACATAATACTAATGGAGATTGTCCTTTGGCTTAAAGAGCAGAAGTCTGAGTGTTTGGAACAGGGGAGTTTGAATTTTATTCCATGGGCATCCATGAAGCTCCATGTGCCAGCAGTGCACAGAATGATAAGGACTATCATTTTAAGGTTTTTCTCATGTGTACTAAATTGCATACTTGATTCCCTTGTCTTGTTAGATTGATAGTCCAGAAGGTATTTTGTTGTGGCCTTCCTGTCTGGAAGCCAGTCAGGAGACAACTAAATAGAATTAGGCACAACTCTATTTTCAGTCCACAGACTGTTTGGATAGTTTATTTAATTCTCAGATTGTTTGCAGGCCTCGAATGAAATGAATAATTCGTCTCCATTCTAAAGTGGCAGTGATATGTTTATTTTGTCACTAAATCTCAACTTCAGAGCCGTTGGCCTAACTGGCTTGCAAGGTTTCTCACGCACATGCACACACGCATGCACACGCACACATGAATGTTTTCACTTTACATTTGGATTTCTAGTAACTTGGCAACGTGAGGAAAAGCTGCATCAGGAACGTAACACAGGAAATATTTTATGTTCTGTCTATGATTAACAAACAAGGAATTCATGACATTTTAGTTCATAAATCAAGTGTCTCAGCACAAATTTCCTGTTTTTCTGCATTTTTAAAACTTCCATGTAAAAATAGTATAAAAATGGGGCCAGGTCAGAAAGTAGTGGGTTGTTTGTCTTTCAGAAGGAAAAAATACAAATGGCTTTTATTTTTAAAGCAGTGTGCAAAAAGCAACTGAACATGCATGAGAAGGTGACTAATATATTCAGAAAGGTTAGAAGTTGAGTCTGAATAAGATGCCTAAGATTCCAGTCATCAGAAGATATGTTAAATTACAACTATTCATTAGTTACATTTCTCTTCCAGAGTTTCTTTTTAATTTCAATGTATGAATTAAAAATTATCCATATTTTATCAATGAGGGTGTAGAAGTGGGCTGTCAACAAACAGGCGAGTGACTGAGCTCAGATTTCCAGAATCTGGGCCAAAGAGCTTTCTCTGCTGGGCTGTGTTGCCTCTTTAACAGGTCTTCAGTGAGGGATCAGAGTTCTTGTCTACCAGGTTTTTGGTTCCACCAAAATGGCGTGAGTCATTTCCCATGTTAGAATGTTTACTACCAAGGTTAGCATTAACAGTCTAGACAAGCTAAAAAATAGTAGAGAATTAAAATATTAGCATTTTAAATGGCTGCTTGGAATATTGTGCATTAGAGGAAGGCACCTAAGGCAGACCAGATTGGAGGCAGAGCACAGAGGAGACTATCCACCTGGGAAATTGCTTCCTTTTTAAATGGTGGAAAGGGACGGAAAATGCAAGAATCCGGGATCACTTCCTACAGAAAAGACACTTACCAGCACAGGGTTTGATCCTCCTCTCCTACAGATTGGAATTGGAAGTAACAGATAAAGTCAGTGGTGTCACATGTGTAAAAGCAGCTTCAATTGAATGGCATCCAGAATGAGTGAACAGAGGGAACAGGCTCTTTTATAGGTATGGTGATAGCAAGTGGGATGAAACTCGTGAGGTGGCCAGTGGAATCATCTTTATTCTATGGGAAGAAAAAGGAGAGGGTCCACCTATGACTGGCTCTGTGATGGCATTCTTTGACCAGGTCAAACTGAGGGCTTAGTTTCTGCCTAAAAATTTGTGCCAAATGGTGACTTCATGATGAATATCTATGGCAAGTTTTTCCTGAGTGTCTGTGGACAGCCAGAAACACACAAGAGAATGGAACAGGAATAGTTGGACAGAAAGAAACTTCCAGCCTGAACATCAAGGAAAACTTAATGACAAAGTTTGGTTCTGAATAACACTGGAAATGTGGGATGGGGAAGAAAGAGGCACTATTGCAAGACCAGAGTAATGCTCTTGGCTCCAGTGAACCTCATTAACTGCAGTGAAGATGCACTTCCTTTATATCAAGGATACTGGGAGCAGGATTTTTCTCCTTGGGAATGATCTCCACTTACATGGTATGAAAATGTGGCCCATCCTTGAGATGAAGGGCGGGTCCTTAAACTCCCAAGTACATTGCCATGTTCATGCCACCAAACCAGTGGAAATAAAAGGAATTTTTGTGTACATGTAAGGACAGAAAATGTGATCTGAAACAATTGTTCCAGTGAAACCATGTTCCATCAGAAAATACTGGTTTGACAAAATTGAAATGTTTTTGGGATCATGACAATTTTGGTGATTTTTTTTTTCTATGGGGATGCATGTAAATGCCTTGGTGTAACAGTTGAAATGTTCCATTTAGACTTGTTATATTATTTACAACACAACGTAAAAGTCAAAACAAAAACACTGAAGCAGTGTTATCTTCACCTTTGTCAAAATAGTGCATGCAATGAGGTTATTCCAATGTTTCCAAGCTCAGTGATCCCAGGAATTTTGTTTAATGGTAAATTTTGCCATTTCTGTTTTTTGTTCTAATTTAAAAATGTCTGGATTTCCAGCTGAATGGAAATCACAGCTCCTGACCAGCCCCTAGGACGGGAGGACAATTATTTTGGGTTGAGGGCCACATACTGAGTTTTGGCAAGCCATCGAGGGCTGCATGACAGGCAGCCAAGGGCAGATAAATATTAATTTTTAAAATTTTTTAGGGGCCCTGCAGGCAATGGGGATAGAATGGGCTGGCGGGCCACATGTGGCCTGCGGTCAGCATTTTGCCCACCCCTGCCCTAGGAGAAAGTATCCTTAAGGATTCAAGGAACTGTGTGAATGTCAGGACCCAGCTTTATCTCACTGTAATCCACTCTGAAAGAGGAGAGTCAAATAAACAGCTGTAGCTGTTCTGCAGCTTCTCACATAACATTCTTTTCATCCTTAAAATGCAGCAAACTCTCAGCAACAGTAACCAGAGTTTGATAAAGTCCCCTATGCAGACTCAGTGTAAAAAGAGAGGAAAAAATTAAGAGGAGGGCATAATCTTCAGAGACTTGTCAAGGGGCTAGGGTACATGGTCTCTAGTAGATGAGCCCAGTAGAGACAGAATGCCTAGAAGATGGACTTCCAGAAAATAATTAAGTAACTTACCCTTATCTTCCCCCATCTGCTGCTAACCACTGCCTGCTACTGCCCTTGGTCCTTCCTGCTTTGTCTGTCACTCTGCTTCTGGCTTTCTTCCCATAGCCATTGCTTTGCCCTCCCACCCTGCCCTCCTGTTTGTATTCATGGCTTGTGCCTTACATCCATGTCACTGCACCTACCTATACCCTGATCTATCTGTCAGCATCTCTCTCTGGTCCTTTTCTCATGCCAGATGCGCTTGTTCAGATTCCTGGTCTTTTAACTCATTTTTCACACTGCCCCCTCCAGTAACTCTCCTTGTTGTGACTCTCCACTCAGGCTGGTTTGAACCATGAATCTAAGAGTACAGTACATGCACCAGTTCAGGCTGGGGGCTGACTGGCTGGGCAGCAGCTCTGCAGAAAAGGATCTGGGGTTACAGTGGACAGTAAGCTGAATATGAGCTAACAGTGTGCCCGTGTTGCCAAGAAGGCTAATGGCATATTGGGCTGCATTGGTAGGTATGTTGCCAGCAGGTCAAGGGAAGTGATTATTCCCCTCTATTCAGCACTGGTGAGGCCACATCTGGAGTACTGTGTTCAGTTTTGGGCCCCCCACTGCAGAAAGGATGTGGACAAATTAGAGAGAGCCCAGCAGAGAGCAACGAAAATGGTTCAGGAGCTAGAGCACATGGCTTCTGAGGAGAGGCTGAGGAAACTGGGCTTACTTAGTCTGGAGAAAAGAAGATTGAGGGGGGATTTAATAGCAGCCTTTAACTACCTGAAGGTGGGTCCCAAAGAGGATGGAGCTGGACTGTTCTCGGTGGTGGCAGATGACAGAACAAGGGACAACGGTCTCAAGTTGCAGCAAGGGAAGTTTAGGTTAGACATTAGGAAGAACTTTCTCATTAGGAGGGTAGTGAAACACTGGATCAGGTTACCCAGAGAGGTGGTGGACTCTCCATCCTTGGAAGTTTTTAAGACTTGGCTAGACAAACCTTTGGCTGGGATGCTCTAGTTGGGGCTGGTCCTGCTTTGAGCAGGGGGTTGGACTAGATGACCTCCTGACATCCCTTCCAACCCTAATTTTTGATGATTCTATAATACACATGATTCTGTGTATCACATCCTAGATCCCACAGGAAGCACATGGAAAGGTTCAAGCAGCCCAATGCTTTATTAACACTACTTCAGTCCCCCTCTGGTCTGTGGAGCCCCTAGTTATTGGGAATCTAGGGACTGCCATTGCAACATGGCTCCAAGTCTGTCTGTGCTGCTCCTTTTCCTTCCAGTCTCTTCCCAGGTGCCAGTGCAACGTTATTCCTGAGCAGACATTTATTATGGGCTTTGTCCAGTCCCATATCAAGTGTTCCATATTATGAGGTTTCCCCCATTTTAATGGAGAGAAGACTTGTAAATATGTTTTGGGCTCAAGCTGTTTCTCCTGCTTCAGCCCATTTCCTCCCAATTAAGCTCCAGATGCATTATCTCTAGCTGTGATGCTCACACCCCTCAGATACTTGCAGGCCATCATTAGGAAGTTTCTAATGCAAATTTCTGGCTGTGCATAGGCATTATAGTCGTACAGAACACTTTATGCCTTCTTAAGGCCAACATCCCTTACAAGGTAATAGAAAAAGAGCAACAACTATGTTTCCGACAAGAAAAATGAGTACCTCAGTAGCCAAGACTTGAAATAGTTTTTATTTAGCCCTGAGGGGATCACTAGCTCATATATCAGTGTATGCAGCCTCTATGGCTGGTCTGCTTTTAGAGGTATGGGAAGAGTTAATAACAGAGGGACAGTGGTGGGAGAGCCTTCCAAAACACTGTTTTTTGTATTTCTCTGGTTTTTACCTTTGCACTCTTCCCACTTCTTGTGGTATAAGCAGGAAGAGATACACCAGGTAGTGGGGCAGTTCAGATCTGAAACATCTTCCAAAATATTGTATTGCGACTGTTGAAGGGAACCATAAATCCAGAGCAGTTACTTCTAGTTATTCTCTCCCTGCTGCACAGTATGTTTCATGATCTAGGTGTTCCTAGACCCAGTTATTATCAGGATGTGTTTGGGAAAGTTTAGAATGGTGATCACACACAATAACAGTGATTAAGTGTGTTTAATTTGGGGAGTTCTGTTAACCTATTCCTTCTGATTTTTGTTTTTAGTTTACCTAAACCTGCTGTTGGCCAGGTATGAATGTGCAACTACAACTTGAATGGCTCACCTTTCTTTTCTTTTATTCCTTTCTCAGCTACAGCAGTGCACACCTGAAGTAGTTCCAAAAGTTCCTCTAGGTTTACACTATTGTGAGATAGCAGAATTGGACTCCCAACTGTACCTTAATATTTTTTCTCTACCAAACAGTCATGGTCTGATGTATTTTAGGATAGCAATATCTCTGTTGAATCTCATTTTACATGTGCTTTGCAGCCTGCAGAATGCTTTCTGACTCAGCCTGAAAAACAAGGAGAAAGCACTGAGAAGACAAAAAGGAGAAGGAAGGTACGTCTTACTCTTTGCTAAAGTTCAGCACAAAGAATTCAGGAGCAGGGGGAAAGTGGGCACTTTATTTTTACTTTTCTAAAACATGTTATTTTTAGAAGGACAACTCAAATGTACTGTGACCAAAAGGCTGCAGTGAGTTTTAGAAAGGCAATAATCCCTCTCTTCATTGATTTCAGCAAATACATGGACCAAACCTTGTCCTTTCATCCTGAACAAATAAAGTGAATGAGCTTAATGGAGGGATTGTAAGCATAAGAGCCAGCCACTTCAATTACTCCATGTCATGGGTAAAGAAAAGCAATTTGTTGTGTTAGTCTGAAATCAGGCAGAACGCAAAGTACGGTGGCATCTTAGAGACTGTTTCAGAGAGGCATGAGCTTTGGCAGGTGATGACCTACTTATAGGCTAGAAAAGCTCATGCTTTTCTAAAGTACATAGTTAGTCTCCAAGGTGCCTCACTGCCCCACCTTCCTCTCATGGATGGGAGAGCTGTCCCTGGTGCCCCTTCTCTATATAGCACCAGTGAGTGAGCTCTAAGTATTGACTTTTGGCCATGCTTAGGGGTCTACCTAAATCGCAGAGGAACGTACCAATTTTTGTGGGTTGATTGTAGTGTAAAGTTCTAATGTTGCAGTCATTTTGCAGTGGCCCCACCCCTTGGTGCTGATTGGCGGAGAGGCCCAGGGGCGGGGAGGAGGGACAAGTGGGCAGCTCCCATCTTGATTGCTGCCTGCCCTTCGTACATCCCTATCCATTGGCATTGATTGGTGGAGAGGCTGGGGGTGGGGAGGAACGGTGGCCACCATCTTGATTGCTGGTTACTCTTCACGTGGCCCTGCTCCTCTGCCCTCACTGGAACAAAGGCCCCAGCGGAAGGAGGAGAGATGAGAGGGTGGCCTCTATTTTGTCTGCTGCTCTTTGCGCTCTTGTCCCTCCAGCTGGCACCTTCCCCTCCCAACAGTGAGAACATATGCTAGGGAGTCAACATTTTATTTGTATTAAATTATTAAGTTTTGTTGTTGTTGTTTATTTCATGGACAATCCTAGATTTTGTAGTTTCCATGAAACCACAAATTAAGGAGGTCCCTAGCTATGGCCCTTTCTTGCACCCATGGGCATCACCTTCACCCTGCAGGTTGGTAGGGGTTTCATTTAATGTCAAAACTCATCCATCCTCTGGGGAATTTCAGGGTTTAGCTTTAAACGCAGTGTTGGCAGAAAAAAATCTTGTGTTTTGTGCCTTTTACCACAGCCAGAGCAACAGCATCCCATGATGGAAATGAGTGGGTGAGGCCTTAAAATGAGTCTTCAGTTTGCATGCAAATAGTTGGGGCTTAGTTAAAGCTTTTGATTCAATGGGAACATGTCACTGACACACAACCTGATGCATAACCTGTCAGGAAATCATTGCGCAATACTTGTCAGCCTAATCTATAGGTCTCAAACAAGCTGTTCACTCTTTAAAAAAAAATAAATCCTTTGCTTTTCAACCATCTGGAAAGAATTGGAAGAAAAATAATAAAATTTCTTATGTGAAGAACGTTTCCCCACATCTTGCTTTGAGGAATAGAGCATGTTCAGGTGTCCTTGCTTGTGCTGTTATGGAATTTCTTGTTAATATCAGCATTCCCCTCAAGAGAAATATATTTTTCCTAAAGGAATTGAGTGACTTAGTAAATGATGTAATGATCCTATGAAATGGCAAATTATCTCGAGGCCCTGAGTAAATGAGTCTGGTTGATTTTGGGTTATTATCTGTGAAGCAGTATGTAAAACGTAACTAGAGAGTGCGCCACACAGCAGAAACATTTTATCCACAGAGGATGTAACTTTAATTACTGCTTTTGATGGAGTGGGTTTGAAATCACAGGCTTGGATACTGCCAGGGCCAAGTCCAAAGACTGCTGAAAGCTAATGGAAAGTCTCCCAGTGACTTCCAAGGGCTTTGGATCAGGCCTTGCATGTATGTGGACCAGGCAAAAACACTGACATCCATGATGTTGAGGTCTGTTGTAGGCTGCAATCCTATTTACACAATGGATGGAGGAGTTAGCTGGGACTGCTCAAATGAGAGCTTCTTAGCGTCAGGGGGAAGGGTTCACAGTCATGCCAGTTTTGCTCCATGCTGCTCTCTGCTTAAAAGTCTTTTATTTTTAGAAATGGTGATATCTACTTAAATAAAGAGGGATCCAGGCTTTTTTATTCATTCAGTAATTTAGAACAGAGCTTCTGGCTTTGGTGCAGCTGGCTTGCACTGGCAGTGCATGTCCCTCCCCACTCATGTGGCAGTGGGAGAGGGGTCCATGGGCTGCACGTTAAGTTCTTGTGGGCCATAGGCTGACCCCTCATGGGCCACCAGTTGGACAGCCCTGATTTAGAAAGTCAAATTGTGACTTCAGATCACAGCAAAATGTCCCACCGTTTTCAGTCGGGTGAGGATTAAGCACTAACATATGGGCTTCCCCTCTAAAAAGTTACTTTCCTGACTACTTGTTCCAGATGGGCTTCTGAATAATTTACAGAAAAGCTTGTTGCTCTTCTTTATGTTGCAAAATAATCTTCAAAAAAGTTCTGTTTTTTAAAACATAGGTTTGCTTTTGAAATTTCAGTCTTTCCCACATACAGCCATGTAGAATGCAGCATCTTGCAGACACTCCTATACACACACACGGACTTTCTTTCTCTGATCTCCCTCTCCCGCCAGCCCCACTAGACACTGGGTGCATCTACATGTTCATTAATGCACCTCTGCTACTATGCATTAAGTTTGGTACCTCTCATATAAGGTACTACATGAAAGCACATTAGCCTGTGCTAATATTCAGTAGCAAAGGCAAACTTTTTTTTAATGATGCTTAATGTGTAGTAGAGTAATTCTACTGTGTATTAGCCTGGTTTTTGTCGTGATATGCTTATGTGAAGTAGAATTAGTCTGCTGCTCATTAAGCATCTTGTGTAAAAGTGCCCACTGAAAACCTCCATTCAGGTGCCTGCCTCCCTAGAACATCTAGGTTCTACAAAGATCTTGACCAAATCCCCTAACAAACAGATCATCTGGTATTCTCGATATTTCCAAAGTAGTATTGTCACACCCCATCATTCAGGAATCACGTACCAACTCCCCCAAACATATGTACTCATGGTATTTGAAGTAAATAAAATAAATCAGTATTCAGTTCATTTTTTTTCCTTTCTGGTTTTTGACCCAGGATGGTGCACTTCAGTCATGTTTTCCAGGTTGTTCCCTAAAGCCAAGAGGGCTGAAAGCTATCTTTATTAATTTAACGGAAGCTAGGATTTGTATGCAATCACTTGAGCTCTGAAGCTGGAGCTTAAAGAAAAACACCAGACATTGGGAGATTTGTGATTTGAGAGTTGCTAAAATGCTAAAGTAATAATCAAAACAAAGCTTATGCATAGACATACCTTTTCAGGTCAATTTTAATATGCCAGTACTGCAGGAGAATATGCAATGTGCCTGGGGATTTTGCTTCACAGTGTATCTTCTTAAAGACCCTTGACCCAGTTCTGAAAACCTCGCTCCTAATGACTACAGTGGAACTTTTACCTGATTACTAGAACTGTATGTGAGCTGCACATGCATAAAAGAATAAAGAAACAGTCTTATGTAGCATTGTGGATAATTGAATAATATGCACATATTCTACTCAACATGTCTGTTTTGTTCTTTTTTGTAGAAGAAAATTTCTGATGTTCTTGCAAAATCATCTCTCAAACCAGGAGTCCCTGAGGACCTGCAAAATCTACTTAATCGGCATTTTGGTACTAAACGTTCAGTAATTGAACTAGAAGAATTAAAACTGCCAGGTAAAAAATGCTGTAACAAAGAGAGATGTTTTTACTGTTTCTTGCACAGGAGAAGAATTATTTTCTTCTAGGAAACAGAGGATGTTTTAGGACATATCTAAGTCCGGTGGGTCTATTTTATAAAAATAATTTCAAAGTTATATTGCAATGTTGTTTCAACTGATTATTTCTTTTGGAGTAAGTAGTGGCTCTGCTTTCTCATTTTCATGGTTATGGGAATGGAAGGGAAGCATTTTTAAATAGACCCACTCTGTAAAATGTTATTTCAGGAACTTTTCTTTTTTATAAGAAGTGATGGGATTTCTGAATGATGATAATGGCTAAAAAGACTCCTGGTGTTAGTTGAATTGCACCCAGATACTTAACAGATGGGCTCACCTGAACTGAAGCATATTTTAAATGAAAAATAAACAGTTGTCATTCTAATTGGTTCAGGTTCTTTGTACCTGTTGACTTTTCAAAGAACTACATGAAATGAGCTGGTGACTATAGTCCAGTGTGTAGTGGATAGATTTCAACCACACCTAGCTCTTTTGTTGACAGTCTTCTGGAATCGCTTCCCTTACAGATCAACCATTAAAAGAGTATGGCATAGAGACAAAAGTCTTATGTCATTCCTTTGAAATTTTAAGGCTTGCTAGAGGTGTAGTTGAAAGTGTTCTGCTTTGCCTTTTGTTTTGTGGATAAGGGGAAAATTCATTTTCCAGAACTGTCAATGCAGCATTTTTCAAAAGCTTCAAATTCATAAAGTTATTTTGTTTCAGTTTAAAAGTCAAAGTATAATTTTCTTAAGGTTTGGAAAGTGAGAGGGTTTTTTCTGTTGTAGCTTACCTTAGCTCCTGATAGATTTAGCTTAAAACTTTAAAGGTTTTTCATTCTGAGCCTGGGGGGTAGCATTAATCCTGGTAACTGAAGTTATATGAAGTTAACATGAGCACCTGTTTTTAGATATTGTGTACTTGGAGCCAACAAGACCCTACTTACAAGTTAATTAACTTATATGTTAGTTTATTGCTACTCCCTGAACTCTTTCTGCCCTGTGCCCCTTGTGGAACATTTCAGTCCAGCTGTGCTCTCTCTTTTGTAGTGCTTAAAGCTTGTCTTTCTAGATAGCTGCTCTATCTTGACAGCTTTGTTTGGACACACATGATCCTAGTTTGACCCTCATTTCTGCCTTTGGGGTCAGCTTAGCTTTCTTCATGAATCAAGAGATCTGCTCTTCTCCCACATTATAGCCTGAAACCAGAGAAGTTCCTTCTGTACTGCTCTGAGCCACTTAAATTTTGTATTTCTAGGATCTATAGGGTACTGTGCAAATAATACATCTCTGTGATCTCTTTCCCAATCAGAAAGGCCTTTAGGCCAGAGAAGCAATTCATTTACATATGGATTGGGTTTGGGGTTGTTGTTTTTTTCTGTCTGTTTTTTTTTTTTCTTTTGGCCAGGAGTTGGAAGCTTACAAAGCCAAGGGGGTTAGTGACTTATACAGCTGTCAAGTCATTCATATCAGATCACTGGGCAGAACAGAGAACAACTACTTTGAGTTGTTTGTTCATGTCAGAAAAATACAGTGAATGTAGACGCTTTGCTGTGAGCCAGTGTGGCTTTTGTCTGCTGCGGGCTCTGGGTCTGCAGTTTTCTTCTTTCTGGGCCTGTCTAAGGTGTCATTAACATTGGTGATACTGAAGATTAGTGATTTTATTTAGTCTTCCAGTTGGAAGGTAGAGAAGAACCATGTCTTTGTCAATCTTCTTTTGAACTATTCAGTGTTGTTTGGCTATTAACAGTGTTGCTAGCTATTAAGCAGAACAGTCAAAGATATATTTCATAGATTTCACAGACATTAGGGCTGGAAGGGACCTCGGAAGATCGAGTCCAGCCCCCTGCCCATAGGGCAGGAAGTCAGCTGGGGTCATAGGATCCCAGCAAGATAAACATCCAGTTTGCTCTTGAAGGTGTTCAATGAAGGCGCTTGAACCACCTCCGGTGGCAGGCTGTTCCAGACCTTGGGTGCTCGGACAGTAAAGAAATTCTTCCTTATGTCCAGCCTGAAACGGTCTTGTAGTAGTTTATGACCGTTCGACCTAGTTGTCATCCCTTGGGGCGCTCTGGTGAACAAACGTTCCCCCAGATACTGGTGGTCACCCCTGATAAACTTATAGGTGGCCATCAGATCACCCCTGAGCCTGCGCTTTTCCAGGCTAAAGAGCCCCAGGGCTCTCAGCCTGTCATCGTAGGGTCTGCTTCCCTGACCTCTGATCATGCGCGTGGCTCTTCTCTGGACTCTCTCAAGCTTCTCCACATCCTTTTTGAATTGTGGAGCCCAAAACTGGACACAGTACTCCAGCTGCGGCCTCACTAAGGCCGAGTACAGGGGGAGAATGACGTCCCGGGATTTGCTTGAGAAGCATCTATGGATGCAAGCCAGCATTTTGGTC